TGGAGGATTCGGTCAGGGTGGTTCTACTGAAGGAGCAACCACCACCAACACCGTACGCCTTAACAACGCCCAGCGTACTACTGGAGGATTCGGTCAGGGTGGTTCTACTGAAGGAGCAACCACCACCAACACCGTACGCCTTAACAACGCCCAGCGTACTACTGGAGGATTCGGTCAGGGTGGTTCTACTGAAGGAGCAACCACCACCAACACCGTACGCCTTAACAACGCCCAGCGTACTACTGGAGGATTCGGTCAGGGTGGTTCTACTGAAGGAGCAACCACCACCAACACCGTACGCCTTAACAACGCCCAGCGTACTACTGGAGGATTCGGTCAGGGTGGTTCTACTGAGGGAGCAACCACCACCAACACCGTACGTTATAACAACGCCCAGCGTACTACTGGGGGATTCGGACAAGGTGGTTCTACTGGAGGAGCAACCACCACCAACACCGTACGTCATAGCAACGTTCAACGCACTACTGGAGGATTCCGTCAGGGTGCTATCGGCAATACTGCGCCTCTTCGCGTGACCCTCACCGGCGGAAGCACTCGCACTGTCGGAGCCGGTAGACTGACGGGCGCTACTAGGACGACCTCTGGTGGAGGATTCGGAGGCTCCCTGCCAAGTGAGTAATGTGATTTACGAAGTAACGTTGACGTACGTATAGTCAAGCGGTGGAACAGGGATGTGTATAACAATCTGGAGAGAAAAAAAGCACCGTTCACAGCCAGCTACCCTAGTGTTACAGACTTAGTTCCGAACAACGCTTAACTCACGTTGCTACAGGTAGCATGTGTGCTTTTAAAATACTTACTTGCGGTGCCCTATAGCTGTATATTTATTCCTTTAGCTGTATATTTAGTCATATAGTATAGCTGTATATTTAGTCCTATATCTGTATATTTATTTATATAGCTGTATATTTCTTCCTATAGCTGTATATTTATTCATATAACTGTATATTTATTTATATGGCTGTATATTTATTTATTAATTCATTCATTTATGCGATGACTAGCACCGATGTTTGGAGAAGCATATTCAACCTTACAGTCACGCGGTATTTATAACGCATTTCACTACACAGCACTACATCGAAACTACTCAACATGTTCTGCTAGCATCTATGACAAATACGACATTCGCATATACGCTCTCCTATAACACTATTTGTCATAGGAAGATTCTTCCTATGACAAATATTGTTGTATGTGTTGTGCGCATCATAGGAATTTAGGAGCGCTATTATGAACGCAAGCAGTGAATTTCAGCTGTAAAGCGGAACGAACTTGACTCGCCAATATTTGTCATAGGAAGAATCTTTCTATCACAAATAGTGTTATAGTAGAGCGTATATGCGTATGTCGTATTTGTCATAGATGCTAGCAGAACATGTTGAACTAATAAAGCTTCTTTCGATTCGTTCTCTTTTTGCGCGCGTGTAGAATGAAGATCGTAGTGTCTGCAATGTTGCTGGGCTACTGCCTGGTGCAGTGCTCCGCCCACGGCGACGGCACCTACGGAGGATCTCCGCACACCGCTATCCTCGGCGACGGCAGCAGCGGCAGCAGCTTCCGCTTCGAAAGCTCCAGCAGCAGCGGCGGGGGACGTCTAGGAGGAGGTCTGGTAGGAGGAGCTGGAGGAGGTCTGGGAGGAGGTGCGGGAGGAGGTGCGGGAGGAGCTGGCGGAGAGAGATTCGAAGGAGGAGGTCGGCAAGAAGGAAGAATCACGGTGACGAAGGAGACGAGGGCGACTGGAGGGCTCGGCGGCTCCTCAGATGGAAGCTTCCAGTCTTTCAGAAGCAGCAGCAGTAGCAGTAGTGGCGGCGGGGTGGCAGGTGGATCCAACGATAGAGTCAGCCAGGCTAATGCTGCCATCACAGCTGGCGAGGGGTCATCAGGTGAAAGTGTCGCCAGGCAAAGCGGAACTAGTGGATTCAGCCAGGGAGGATTTGACAGTGGATTTGGACAAGGTGGAATTGACAGTGGATTCAGCCAGGGTGGAATTGAAAGTGAATTTGAACAGGGAGGAATTGAAACTAGATTCGGACAGGGAGGAATTGACGGTGGATTCAGCCAGGGTGGAATTGACAGTGAATTCGGACAGGGTGGAATTGACAGTGGATTCCGCCAGGGTGGATTTGAAAGTAAATTTAAACAGGGAGGAATTGAAACTAGATTCGGACAGGGAGGAATTGACAGTGGATTCAGCCAGGGTGGAATTGACAGTGAATTCGGACAGGGTGGAATTGACAGTGGATTCCGCCAGGGTGGATTTGAAAGTGAATTTAAACAGGGAGGAATTGAAACTAGATTCGGACAGGGAGGAATTGAAACTAGATTCGGACAGGGAGGAATTGAA